ACAATTCAGATAAATGATGAAAGTCCAAGATTAGAAACATATCTTCTCACGGCAGCTGTTTTAGTTTTGCATCACCTTAGAATTTAAATAATAACTTAATTAAGGCTGGAGAGTTTTGTTGTGTTTTATTAAAAGGTTAAAGTCAAGTTCACACGAATAAAAAAACGCTAATCCAGTGACTCACAAAATACCACCAAGGAAAAAAAAAAGCTTAAACAAACACAAATTAGAGGTAATAATAGAGATGGCGTATCGCGCGCTCCCTGCTTAGCAGGGCTGGAAGTTGTTAAAGACGCTATCAGGGCTAAGTCGTTCATTAGTTTTACAGCTTCTACCACAAATGTACAGGATTATCTCCTGTTGCATGTCTGAAAACACGAAAACAGAATCAAGACAGACAGAAAATCCCTCCTGCAGTGAACCGGTAACTCGTCTGATCTGGCACAACAAATGACAGCAGCAACGCTTTTAAGTTTCTTTACGAGACGGACGACGTCTCCGCAAGAGGAACAACAGTAAATGCAACTTGCAATATTGTCCATAAATATGTATGTTGGGAGAATTTCAGCATGAAAAATGAATCTGTTTAAAAACACATTTATCTTTAACACTTTCCTTTGTATTCATACTGAATGTTAATAAGACTTTATACACCAATATGCATCTTTAGTATATTAGTTCAAGAGAAAATAGTTAAAAAGTGAACATTTTCCTGCCAGGTAGAGATTTTGCAGCAAAGGTTGAAAAGCAGTTTGTCCTTACTCTTGATTTAGAAAGTCAAAACTATAAACACTGAATAGTGGCAGTCTTATCTGAATGTGACACGTTTTAAGCTTCAATGCCATGTATTAGATTCACACGTTCATGTCATTTCAAAAGTAAAACTAGACGAGGGCAAAAACTAAACACAGGAATATGAATCGCTGGAGATGGCTGATTTAAAAAACAACAACAAAAAAACGCTTTTGTTAAGAACTAAAGTTAGGAAAGTGTTGAAACCAAGAGGAAACACCTTAAAGGAACCCAGAGGTCCCGTCTGATTGTAGTCGGGTGTCTGGTGGGAGTGAAAACTGCACCAGAGCTGCTTTCTGTTCAGCATCAGGGGCAGAGCAGTTTCTTGTTTTTTTTTGTCTATTGGGAGCAGACCCTCGCTAAACGGTGAGCGTCCCACCGCCCTTCGTGGAGCATCGGCCGTGGGAGGCAGCGCAGGGGTGCAAGGCCCAGATGGATGTCAGGGTAGCATCTGCTGCACCTCCTGACGGGCTCTTATCGGCAGAAAAATGCCACCACACACACAAATAGACACACAGTGGACGGGGGAAGACGGAGAGACGAGGGGCCTTCTTTGCAGAGTTTAAAAAAACATGGTCGCTTTTTGTTTGTCGTGTAAACAGAGGCGGGTTCCCCATCGGGTCGCTCGTTTGCATTTCACAAAGCATCACAGCATCAGCTTACGTCATTATTGTGTGTGTGAAACACATCGGTTCTTCTTCTATTCTTAAAACATCAAACATCCCAGATAATTGCTTTCTAAATTCTGTCACTCAGTTCAAATGAGTCCTTTTTTTTGTTTTACAAGATGTTTTTGTCTATTGTTCTCCAGAGAAATGCTTTCATTTTGAGAAACCAGGATTGTCCATTTGCTTTTCTTTTTCTTTTTTTTTTTTTGCTTGAGTCACCATTACTCTTTTACTACAGCAACTTAATCTTACACTTAAAAAAAAAAAAAAAAAAAAGTATCCCAGCTTTACAATTAAGTCACTTTATTCCCATGCAAATAAACTGTATTTTTAGGAATTTTTTTTATTTTTTATTTTTTCAGCCTGCAATAATTTATATAAAACGAATGTAATTTAACTGGTCCTATAAATTCTTTACTTGTTAAAACAAAACTGGGAACCTTTGGCTAATGAGCCATGTCTTCCTGTTTTCCTGTGCCGTGACAAAGAGACCCATTTCTTTCATCCTCACTTGGGCAGGACAAGAGAACATGCCGTCCAAGTAACGTGTATTCAAAAGGTTCCAGGAAAAAAGCTTCTCGTCTTATCTTGCACCTACATACGATCAAGAAAATAAATTTAAGAGTTTAAACCAGGATTTACACTGTTAGGAAACAGCAGCAACATCCTTTTCCATTACAATCATGTGGAGTTGGTTAAACTCCACCAACTGGAAGCATACCATACCGTATTTTATTTGTAAAACTAAAACCGGAGTCGTGTCTCCTTCTTGTTTACTTGTGCCATTTAAAATCCTGCTGCAGCATTTTGAGCCAACTGTAAACGTGCAAGCGGAGAACGGATAACAGCAATTGAAAACATACAAAAATTGCTATGAAATTGCAATCTAAATTGTAGTTAATTTGAATCAACTGTGTTTGGAATGTTGGTCTATGGTTTACATTTGAACGTCCAACTTTGAGTCTTCGCCAGTGCAGAATTGGGACATCTGTCTGACTTCAGTGACATAAAATCTGGATGAAATGCAATGTGACTATCCGAGCATTAAAGAAACATCAGATATGCATCAGATTTTGGACCACATGCTGCATAAAAATGGCCTGGGTCATTAAAAGAAAACAACAAAAATATAGATATTAATACCATCTGGGCAATAAAAATTGAATTTTGGCCACTTTTACCTGCAATGTGAACACAATCAAAGACTAAGCTCAGAATAAATAAGCAGATCATTTGGATTGGGTGTAAAACGCAGAATAAATATGTGGAGGAACGGCTTCCTAAAGACACCGCAACATTTTAAGTCAAAATCTGGAGACCTCTGCCAGACAAATGGGCTTCGCAGCTTATCAGGATTCATGCAACATGGGTCAAAACGGGTCACAAAACTGTGGGTATACATTCGTACATGCGTAATGCAACACTAAATTCCCCAAAACAATGTTTAATAACAGAAAAAGCAAAAAGTATTTTTGATACAAGTTAATTTTTAGCTTTACCTAAGCACTCCTTTTGTTGAGTTAAAAAGTCAGAACGTTGTTACAGGAAACATTTTCCCCTCAACCTACTAACCTATCACCTTATCATCAGCTGCTACATGAAGCCATGGATTCCCTACAGCGTTAGACGGAGAGCAGCTCGGGTAAAATCCGGTCCACACTTGACTTCCTGTTGTTGTTAAGTGTGTGACCTGTACACACTGTGTACAAACAGTAGGGGGAAAAAAGCAGAGATAGTGACGTGTGAAGCTTGAAACCAGAAAGACGGATGATAAACCACGATGAAGGCGGCAGAACCACACAGTTTGGAGGTTTGATCTCAGCTACGCAAGTTCTGTTTGCTTCTTTGCGGTTTTCTGACTCACTCGTTCTCTTAATGGCCCTTCGGAGCACTTACTTCCCTTATACCGCTGCCAACAATTAGTTCTCTGTATCCTTCTGCCCTACAGGTAGCTGTTAATTACCGCTCATGTTCGTCATTTGTAAAAATGAGCACGTAGAGACTCGAATGTTTCTTTAGATACCGTATCCAGCGCGATAAACAGCGCGTCTCAGGTATTTAGACTTGGTAGAAAAATCTAAACTGCTTCATCACACAGCAGAACGTCTTCCTGAGGGTGTGTGCAACCAGACGGCATCGCTGAACATCCAGACACCAGCAATTAGAACGTGGAGAGCAGGTAAGAGCTGTGAGTGGGAGGAAGAGGACTGGCTGCATGTTCTTCGGGCGAATAAACAAATACGTTGAACACACAGACGTCTTCTCTTTCCTTGTTGTGGGAGGGCGGCTGCACCGAGATCCAGGCTGCTGCCCTTCCCTCGGGCATCCTGGATGCCCACGTTGAGGGAGGGCAGCGAGACAGAAGGACGGAGAGAACCTGTGTGTGCAAAAGCCAAAAAAAAAAAAAAAAGAGAAAGTGAAGAAAAAGAGATGGGTGGGGGTGAGATGAACGCAGCAGCCCATGGTTTGTCTCAGGGCTGCAACAGCTTCCAGAGCCGATGTGCAGCAGACTGAAGAGAGGGACGTCTGCCCCACAGGCAGAGACTGGAAAACAGGATCAAAGAGTCGCCAGGGCAACCTGCTTGACACACATTGTATTAAAGCCACACGGTTAATTTGAAAGAGAGGGAAGAAGGGCAAAAGGAGAAGAAAGGGGGAGTTGAGACGGGGGGGGCAAAGACGCAGCACAGAGTCGAGTATATTTATCAGGAACTCCTGTCTTACTCGGTTAACTTTACACTCAAAACTCTCTTCAGCTGCTCCACTTTGATCGCTTTTACCTTCGAACTTTGGCTCGAACTCCCCTGGTTCATCTGTCTTTTTCTGATTGTCGTTCAGCGTCTCAGGTTTCCACAGGACACCTTGGTCCACAAATCGGTGGGGGGGAGAAATATCTGCAGGAATTCACGTAAATGGGAAACCCAGGATATACTCTGTGCTGATCCAGGAAAAGAAAATATTCTTTTGTAAACATATCCAGATGTATAAAAACATTCAAATAAATTCTCCTTTTCCTGCAGTGGCATAATCACTCACAAAAAAAAAAAAGAGCACATTTATTAAACAGAGGAAGAAATAACTTCTTACAAAAAAAGAGACTCATTTCTACATCAAACCCTTAGTTTTTGTGATTAAGGCTTTATTTTTTTAGGTTGATCATTTTGTATAGAAACTTGTAATAATAAATCCATAACCTCCTCTTTCCCTCTGTCAACTCTTCAAGATGAGAAAAGTAAGAGAACATGGCATTTAGATGAGGTGAAAGCTACTGAAGCATCATCTGCCTGAGCTGTAATTCATCACCACATACATAGATGACAATGCAGGCTACATATTTGAGCCCATGGATTACATAAAGTGAGGGAAGATTGGACCCTACTTGTTAAAATATATGTGAACAACATCATTTTTCTACTATTGCGCCACTCGTCTCATAGTAGCAGCATTTTGGCCCTGTTGTGTTAATTCCGATTCATTCTTTTTGCAGACATTCTTCATGTGTTTTTCGTTGAGGCACTAGACGTTTGGACAACTATTTCCTCCGGATTTGGATGATGTAATTTTTGCTCCTGCTTTTTACTTTCGGATGGTTGTGGTGATGTGTAATCGTGGAAACAAGCCGTTGTTTTTTTGTTTTTTTTGTTTTTGTTTTACAACTGGTAGCAGCTAATTAGCATCTAAAAGGTTTGACTAATACCTCGACTCTCAGAGTCTCTCAGACGAGTTGATAAAAAAAAGAGGTTTTGTGGATGCAGAATCACAATCAAAAAGAAACCATCATGTTCGCGGCTACATGTCTCTGCCCGGATCAGCAATATAGACAGGGAGTTAAAGAGAAGTGGCAAAAGCAAATGAGGTGGATTAGCAGTGCTTGCTAACAACTGATGGTATCATCCAGGACATGTTACCGTGCAATATTATCTCTGTTGCCCACAAACTGAGTTCTTGGTTTGTCATGACACTCATGAGACTGTCGTACAAAAACAGTCTTCAGTCAGAGGCATCTCCAGATTCACTGCAAGCCTGACTGCTTCTGGATATCCTTCCCACAGCATTATTATCCACAACTCTTTAGAAGATATTTGGAATAAATGAAGTATTCATGAATTTAATTCAATGACAATGGTGTCATTTATGTCTAGATATCATAGCTTCTCTAAAATACCCTAAAGCTACTTTTAATTGCCCAGCTAACTTCCCCTGTAAAGTTTTCCAGACATTTTCCGTAACTTAGCAACCCTGCTCTTCGCACCATATTGTCTACAATATACTCTCATAAATCTAAAGCCGTCGTGTTACAAAAGTGATTCCTGCACCACAATGTGCATACTTTTTATATCCATTCATGTACTTAGATGTAATGATCATTTATCATGTTTCTGGTGTGCATAATTGCTGTCCGGTCATTAATAACTTACCGGTGTTTTCTTTAAGTGTCACTCATGGGGTAAAAACCCCAGAAATGTGGGAAGGCCAGACTTGAGGCTGGCGTGGGGCTGCACACATTTCCACTGTTATATTATTAATAATAAATCTGACTTGTTATTTGGTTTCACAAAGCAAGGAGCATGTTTTTATGGGTACACTCAGGCTGCACATGAGGCCCCTGGAACTGTGACAAACAAGCCTGAATCATTGTGAAGCATTTTACTCAGTAATCTCTGCCTCACTTGATTAACTTTCTGCTCATTCTTCAGCTGCTCTACTTTAACCGCATTTTTTTTTTTTTTAACTTTGGATTGAACTCCTCTCATTCATCTGGACTTTTCTGATTATTGTTTAGGGTATCAAATTCCCACAAGACTGTTTGGTGAATTAATAAGAGGAACGGAGAGAAAAACACCCAGTCAGGTAACCAGGTGTTCCACTCAGACTACTTCTAAAGATGTTTGTGTAGGAACAGGTCGACATCATCTTTAAACCCTTAAAGATCATATTAGTAAAGACAAGTGACATTAATTTTATAGTGTTTCTTCTGGAATACCTGTACACGTAAGTGGTAGACTCAAAATGTTTCAAATCCACATTAACAGCTCAAAATGCGACATTTGTTTTCAATTTGAAAAGTTTAATTTCAACCTTGGACATCATGATCCACAGCTGAATGGACATATTTGTGATTTTGGTGAGCAGACGACGTGAGAAGTCTGACTCTGGTTTAATCCTTGGTTAAGAAATCCATATGTGCATTGAAGCAAACAATTTCACTCAGTTCTCCATTCAGGTACACAAAAGGAATCAAAATTTTAAAAACAAAACAAAACCCCCCAAAAAACAAACAAACAAACAAAAAAAACCCCATGATGACTAAACAACCTGCTGATTTGTTTTATCGTTACTCTCAGAGATAACCCGACACTCGTGGCACAGTGAAGGCGACTCTTCCTAAATAATACGCCTTTCACTTGACATGACATCTGAGATAAAAAAGCTCATCGAGTGGAAACGGGAATGTGGAGCAGAGTCGGGTTGGAGCTGCTCGGGACGAGGTGGGGGGGTGCACGCGCGATAAACAGCAGACGGGGGTTGGGGGGGAGACGGGGGCTCTCCAGACAGTTGGAAGGCATTAGGGTGTCGGACAGGGACTTGTCAGATGCAGCTGTTGCTGCGGCTGATTGATAGTTTGTATTGGGGCATGATGAGAAACTCCAGTCACCAGCTAGTGTTGAGAGGTAATGTCAAATAGAAAAAGGAAAGGAAAGAAGACGTAGTACAAATAAGATAAAAAACAAATCTGACATTTGTCAACACTAAAAAGACACAAAATTCATTACATTGCCCCACGTTGTGGCTATAACCAGCTCAGTCAATCAACTTTTCTTTCTTTCTTTTGTTTGGTCTTTGATTTGAGACATATAGACATTTCAAAAACAAATCAGAACGCTGCTTTACGAGATTAACATACATAAGCTGTAAAATATAACCTAAATCGCACATTTATAAAAGCCCTCAGACTTCCTCCCAGCGTTGCTTTCGGTCACTCGGTTAGTAGTTTGTACTTGTGTGCGGTTACACAGCAAATTGCTTGTTTGCACCTACATAATACTCCATGAGATACTCAGACTATACTACTCGGATTACAGGTAACTACCGTACAGAACACAGGGCTTCAGGCTATGCACTCCCTTCACACAACAACATGTGTTGTTGAAGAGTCTTTACAGCATACAGTACTTCTCAGTGGAAAAGAACATCAACCGTGCTCTTTCAAACATCTTGCAAAGCAATTAGTGGAGATGCTAAACATATCAATCTGGGCTGCACTTAGTTTCATGTCTCTGTGGGTGTGTATGTGTGTGCTTTAGAGTGTGTGTTAGTATTTAATGCTGACTACAGACTTTCTAAATGTCCTAAACGCCTTTGATCACATAACAATGGCACAAACAGTAGTAAACAAGGTTTCCATTGTTGGCAGACTTCAGAGACTTTTCTCTGAGCCTGGGTGGCTCTAAGGGTGGCTCTCTTCTGTCAGTCTGCAGGGCTCGACTGATACCCTGGTTCACTATTCCAATGTGAAAGCTGAGACCGCGGCGGAGGGAGGACAACATACAATATTCATCACAAAGAGTGGCCGACATCTGTTGCGTTTTCCTGTGTGTTTTGTGTCTGCGCTTTCTCAGGTGTGTGGACGTGGGCACTGGCAGGACGCAGCGGTCGGCAGCCGCTGACGTACATTAACATCATATCCTCGCCGGCTCCGTTTCCTTGTCCTCCAGCAGGCCGATGAGCTGACCAAAACTCTCCTTCACTGACTCCATGTTGTCAACAGTGCAGCCCTCCAGGATCCATCGCTTTCCTCTCGCCAGCGGCTCCAGCTCAAAGTATTTCTTTATCTGCAGACAGAAATGCAAGGAGATCAAATTACACTGTTCTGTCGCATTTATTAAAAACAACAACAAAAAAAAGCCAAATAATTGATATCAGGGCTGGTGTTAATTATTTTTGTAATCTATGAGTCTGATGATTTTTCATTTAACCACTTAACCTCTTTTAATACAATATAAAATATATGTAAAAATGCAGATAAACCAACAATTAAATTCTTTGTTTTCTTAATAAGAAAATGAAAATGTAATTGCCAAAAGCACAAGAAGATAACAAAGAATGCATATTGTTAAATAAAAGCTGAAATAAACTATTTCTGCTTCACTTAACACCAATGTAGCCCTATGGCTGATTTATAGACTATTTTTTAAATTAACCAATTAATAATTTTGCAGAATTTGAACCAGGTGAAGCTAAAACTATGCAATTTGAGGAGCTGTGGGTAGAACATATTTACATGCCAAGAAGGGTTTTCATCTAATATATAAAATATATTTTTTTGTTCAGTTTTGGCTTAATTACAGCTCTGAGAATGTTTTTTTTTCAATTGGTTTATTTTAGAGTTAGTAAATGCTAATGAACGATTATTTGATGACTAAAATAGTCAATTATTTCAATAATTGATTAATCATGATTAATGTGATTGTGTCAGTCCTAAATTGATTTTGTAATTAAGAGACATTAACAATTAATTACTCATTGTTTCACTATGCTTTTAAAGACAAAATAATATTTGTGTAGTAATCTTCTAATGACATGCATCAGAGGTACTTAAGTTAAAACACATCTTTCAAGTCAAAATTGAATATTTTTCCAGACTTGCATTTCAAAATATCAAAATGTTTCCCTTTTCCAAACTGTAAGAGTTGTATAAGAGACAGGATTTACGGTGAACAGCATCGATTTTCTTCCTAAATATGTTATCTGGTTAAGAACACACAATACAAGATTCCAACAACATTTTCCATCCATTTTTCAAGCAGTTTTATTTTTTAATATTATTTTTTCAATATTCTGGACTTTTACAAACACAAATAATATAATTTGTTTGATTTTAATGTTTGTGTGTTTCGCAAGTCAATCAAAGAGTACAACACTTTCAATTTAGCAGTGCAGTAAAAGAAACGGTTTTATTTATTTCATTGCATCTAGACTAACTACAATGAGATTGGAGTCTACACCACATTCAAGTGAAGAACCATGGTTTTAGCTTGAAACTGTGATCTGAGAAGTTGCAAAATGGCCATTTTCCCATTTTTGAATGAGTGCGTTGGGAGCATTTATCTGTACGTTCTTGGGACAGCAAAACCTTTAACAAATTTTATAAAAATGTCAGCTATGCTGTGACAAATTACACAGATGTAAAATATAAATCAATAGAAAAATCTATTTGTTTTTTTTCTTTACACATCTTTTTTGGACGTCCTTATTCAGAGCCAGAAAATTATAAAAGCAATTTCCAGACTACTGAAGACTGTACAGGGACCCTGGAGGTGGAAGCTGGCATGAGGTTTAATGAAGTTGAGTAAAATAAAGTTTAAATAAGACTGAGACGTTTAGATCAATGTCACCTCATCTCAGCCAATTAGGAGTTAAAATCAGCTTTGATTTCTGCAGACGTGTCTTGACGACGGTGTAAACTAACAAATAAAACCAACACAGTCGAACAGATGAGGACTAAATGGAACAAAGCAGCCGCTTCATGTGAAAAATATTTGGCATGTTGGCTTGGCACTGCTCTATGTAACGGTTGATTATAAAGTTCATATGTTGGCTTTTGGCAGCTCTTGACAGCAGGGGAGCAGGAAGGTTTGTGGAGGAAGCAGAACCAGCTGTTAGGTAAAAACAAATCTCAGGCAGAGGGAAACAATGTCCCAGAACTCCACTGATCGTCCTGCAGGTTGTTAGGGAATTTGACATTTTCAAGCTGAGAGTAAAAGAAGGTTTTGCTCAAGCCATCTCCTCCTGTTTGCCCGATGACAGGTGACAAAATGTGCAGACAAATATTTGCATCAGAGGACAATCCTAAAATCTAATCTTGAATAATTTAGCATTATGTCAAACTTTTTCATGCATATTTTTAGAACTATTTGGGTAACACTGAAGTTTTGTATAATGATCTAGCAGTCATAAATAGAAGTAGTTAGTAGAAATTAAAATTAAAAACAAAGATCAGAAAGTTTATAGTCCCAAAAAGCTCAATTTAAGAATTTCAAGACACTTTTAGAATCGTTCTAATTTGAATTTAAAACCAACCAGAATGATTTAAAAACACAACTTAAACACATCTTTGTCAACTTAAAATGACATTTATTACAGCAAAAAGTGATTGTTTTCGCTTTTATTATCACACCTAAAAGTTTTAGATCATGAAAGACTTTTTAATATTGAACAAAGACCCTTCAAATAAAGCTGTTTTCAAATGATGAGGTCATGCGGTGTTTGCAGATCTTTAACATTGCTGTGGGTGAATTCTGGCCTCTTTGCAGAATTGTTTAAATTCATTTACATTGAAGAGGATTTGGCCATTAACATTCTGCTTAAGGCCATATAGTCTTAACCACAGACTTTGACTAGGACCCTGGAAAACTTCAATTGTTTTCCCTGAGCCATTCATTGGTTGACTTCATGGTGTGCTTTGGATCATTGTGTGGAACAGAACAACCATAAATTGCTGAATTCATGATTGCATCTGTTACGCCAAAGTAGACAGATTCTGCAGAGGCAAAGCAGCTGGAAATAACCACTCTACCTTAAAAACATTTTAAGCTGATTTCATGATGTTCTTTGTCTGACATGCTGTAATAGTTTTATGGCAATGGATTGGTGCAAAGCTTTGTCTAGACAGTCCACAGAATATCTGCCCCAAAACAATCAAGATTTATTGTTGAACCATAAACACCTGGGGTTTGCTGTAACCCCAGGTGTTACAAAGATGACCTGTAAGAGTTGTCAGTGGGCTCTGAGCAACTGTGGTGTGCTGGGCATTCCTGAGAAGGTCTCCCGCTGCCTCATGTTTTTCCTATCTGTACATAATTTCTCTTTCCAATCTATACTCGAATTTGTTTTTTTTTTTGTTTGTTTTGTTTTTTTTATTTAGAAGATGACATTTTGCTTTTATAAAATCTTCTGGCCTATTTCTTTGGAAACTGTTCTTTGAATTTTCCTGAGGTTATCTAGATATCAACATTGGTTTGATAATGTGAAATATGTAATTTGTACAAAAAAGAAAAAACAAACAAAAAAACAAAAACAAACAAAAAAAAACTCTGAGAGGAGTAAATACTTTTTCAAAAGTGTAACAAGCAGGTACTTTTGTTCCACAATAGAGAGGGGAATACCTATACCAGAGGAAGAAATTATGGAAAAAAAATAAAATTAAAACACCAGCATATTCCTAAAAAACATTGATGGCAGAAGCCACAAATTAACATGTTTACATTTTTTTAAGACCTGCTACATAATACTTGGCTGTATTTAAGACTCTTTAAAACTGAAATTTATTTAAGATTCATAATTTTTTTCTCTCTCATTTTCGGCAAATTGAAAGCAAGTATAATTCAAATCTGGCCCTTTAAAGCAAACAATAAAATTTGTGTTTTATTTGTTTTTTGTTCAGCAGCATTACATTTGGAATTGAAGATTAAAAAACAAAACATTTTTGACAGCACATTCTTCTGAAAAGCAGATGTATACCAGCAGAATACAGCAAAGACCAGGAAATCCACACGGACACCCATCACACAGCCAAATGACTTTTCAACTTCAAGTGAAATTGCTTTTGTCTAGACTGTGCAGTGCTGTCTAGCTGTGCCATGGTGTGTGGCATGAAGAGGATGGGAAGGAGGAGGAAGGGGGATGTATTGTTTGTGTCTGCCTAAACCCAGCCAGCCGTGCCAGTGAGTTGGAGAGTGAGTGCCGTCTCTGCCCCCCTGAGCAGAGTCTGTGTTCGGGTGTAATGTGAGTTTAATGACAGATTAAGTCACCTCAGCCGCGTTTGGCTCAGAAGCCTGGCTAGAAAGCTGAGTGGACCCAAACAGTGTTAACAAATCTGTCTGGGTAACTTGAGCTGCCCTAGTCCAGGCTCTAGCCCCAGACCTAGACTGCAGACAGTGTGGCTGGCTGCCTGTCTGGCTGGCTGGTTGGTTGGTTGGTTGGTTGGTTGGTTGGTTGACTCGTCTGCCTGTAGCCAAGGCCCTCTTCTGGAAGACACTGGCCTCTGCACTGACAGACAGTCAAAAGGCCAAGAGTTACCTCTGTGTGCAGACAGGCTAGAGCTTCTCTAACTTCCCCTGCTTGACTAATTGGCTGGCGGTACATACTTGGGAGTATCTGCCAGCCTTCTACAGAACACAACTAATGATAATTATTTAACACTCCAGCAAGAAGCTGGAGTGTTAAATAATTACTTGATTAGTTTAAGCTTACCAAGAGTGACTTTGCAAGGGCAGGATTTCACTGAGAACCCAAAGATTTAAATCCTACAACAGACTGAGAGGACACGTTGTTAAAATCAAGCCTCAGTTTTTACGTGTCTGAAGGAACCCCATGACCTAACAGCCGGTGTCTACCCACTCCGAAAGTCAACAAGTGACGCCAAAACCAGTTTCCCTGAGATTAAGTCCTCCTAAGCACACTTATGCTTGCTTAAGGAATTGCGTGAGGCAGCAGGATGGGTAAGCCAAACAAGACCCGGGTTGCCAGATGGCTTCGAGGATGACCATTAGGTCATCCAATCTAGCTTCTTCTAGGTCATACAGTCCATGTAGGGCCTTACAATGCACATGGAAGAAAGAGATTTATTCTTAGATAAAGGCGTCCAAAACTTTAAGCTACTCTCTGATTGCAACAAATTGATTTTAGAGACATTAAAGTCAAGAAAATCCTCACAGAAGGTAATGAAGGGAAACTACTTTACTAGGCGAATGTTTAGAACTGGCAAAAAGTTTGAGATTTGACATATTGTAATTTTGTTTTAATCTCTTTAACATCAGAAGACTAGTAACGT